TATTTAACTATTTTTTTATCGAGAAGAGTCGATCTCTCATACCTTTAAACAATCGATTCTTACTCTAATCGAAATAAAGAAATATTTAAATTTCATTCTAAATTTCCCTATCAATTTCAAAATAATAACACCTAAAATAATTTTAAGAGTGAAAACGATAATATCTAATTATTTTCAGTCGAGAATAAATGACATTTTATGCATTAAAACAATCAATTATTACCCCAATTGCACAATTACAATAAAGTGATATTAATATTCCGTCTTAAAATTACATAGCGATTCGAATGAAAATGATAATATCTAATGATTTTCAATCGAGAATAAATGACCTCTCATATCTTAAAGCAATCATTTATCACTCACACCTAAAAGAAAATATATTACTATTCTCAATATCGATTCAAATGTTATTGTTTTAAAATTTTATCAGAAAACACATGCAAAAAATAAAATAAATAAAAAACATAACAAACAAGTAATTAATTATTTACTTTACCACTATTTGACGAGAATAAAGATGTTCAATTATTTAAATATTTCTAGACGATACCTTAGATTCGATTTAAAATGAATTCGATTTAATTCGTGTCACTAAATGAGATATATTTTCATTTTAAAATTATCGAAAGTAACTTTCTTATACGTTAAGACAGTCACTTTACGATAATATTAAAATGATCGAATATTACCCTTAGTCAATTTATTTCAAATCGAGTCAAGGGATGCTTATGAGGCTATCATACAAAATTAATTAGAACTAAAATGAATTAATATGCAAACAACATGCAAAAATTAGAATAAAAATAAAAGCAGAACTAAGACATAAATAATCAAACTATCATGCCAAAATTAAAATAAAATAAAATGTACAAGTGACTAACATAAACAATTTCAATATTAAAAGCTAAAATTAAAATAAATGGAAAATAAATAAAACATGGGGCTAAATTAAAATAAATTAAAATTACATGGCCGAATTAAAATAAATTAAAACATATGTTCTGGTTTGAAATACAAACGTGTAAAAATACAGGGGTTATATAGAAAATATCCCTAAAAATAAATATCAGAAATAAAAAAGGTAAATTACATATACAATCCCTAGAGGTGACTAACATGCAAAAACACGCTAAAATTAAGAGAACTAAACTAAAATTAAACTAAAATTTATATAACATAAACATAAAAGGGTAAACTATTAAAAAGTCCTTCCCAGTGACTACTATGTAAAAACGAGCGTAATTTAAGGGGACTGAAGTGAAATTTCCCCTTAACTTACTCTATATATACAACTTAAACTTTGCTTTTTTTTAACCTAAACCTTAAAAAAACCTTTCTTTTTTTCTCTCAAAAGCTTCGGTCGACCCACTGTCGGTCACAGCCCCAAAAAAAACTTTGACTTTTCGATTTTTTTATACCTCGAGCCGCTGCGAAGGCCCCCCTCCGACTCAGGTATTTATACTCTCTTCCTCTCCTTTCGTTTTTGGTTACATGCAAGACTTATTTTTGCTATATATATGTTAATATTTGAAACTGTAAAGAAAAAAATATACCTCGAAAAAAACTTTCAAAACTCTGTTTTTTATTGCTTTTGAATCTGGAGAGTGAGAGCCCCGTTTACATATTTGGTTCGGGTATTTATAAGTCCCGATTTATAGCTTTTGCTTTTCTTTTCTTTTTTCGGATGAAATCATTACAAAAGAAAAAAGTGATTTTTGCGTGTCCTGTTGGTCTGGGTTACTTGTCTATTTGATCTGAGTTTTCTGACATGCAGGATCTCTGGTTGGTGGCAGCAATGGTGGTTGTCGGTTGGTGGAGAAAGGGGGTGGCATGGGATTGGGTGAAACGGGCGGTGGAATATGCTCGATCTGGACCGTTGGATGGGTCTAGATCTGACGGCTGAGACACATTAGGGTAAACCCAAATTTTGGTGCGATCTGCACCCTCCATCTTCAACTTGATCGCGACTGGAGCTAAGATGGAAAACCATAGCTGTTTGGGTTCTCCCATCTAGGCCGGGTGGTATCTTTGGGTTTGATTTGTAAACCTGGCTTGGGGGATTTGATGCAATTGGGGTTTCGGGTCAAATAACCCCCATGTAATCATTGCCCAATCTTGGGTTTGCTTTGGCCTGAAAAGAAAAATAATAATCATTTAATTAATAATAATAATAATAATAATAATAATAATAACGATAATAATATATTAAAAACGGGACGAAAAACGAGTGTCGACCTGCGGTTTTTTTGGTTCGATCAAAACAAAACAAAATTATGCTCAAGTGTTGGAATGAATTTCTCAGAAAACTCGAAAAAAAAATTGAAAGTTTCAATTCCACTAAAAGATTCTACTCAAATTGATTCTTCTTCTTCTTCTACTATATCCTCCAACTCGGATACATCAAAATCGAAGAATCGATGTGATTGTTGCAACAAGAAAGTTGGTTTAATCGGAATTTCCCTTTTTTGTGGAGATCAACGTTTTCCCGATCAACATTTATGCGACTTTGATTTCAAGGCAGCCGATCTTCGGATTGTGTCTCAACAAAACCCTGTTATAAAGGTTGATAAACTAGAGTCAAAGATTTGAATTTTTATTTGTTTTAGTTCTATTTAGTTTATTTTCCATCAGCGTTCTTTCTTTCAATTTGATATCGTAAATGCTGATTTTGATTAGTTTATCAAATAAAAGTCTTGGATTATAATTTTATTTTTTAATATTTTAGTAAAATAAAAAAGGTAGAGTATTTTTTCAAAAATACGACTAACATGGGTTGGTAAGCATTTTGATTCCGCTTAATCAAGATCTCAGGTGTGCGACGCGGATCGATTTGGATTAGTTATGAAAAAATCTTGGAACTGAGAGGGAACAAAAAAAAATACAATTTCGATTACGGTGTCTATACTTTAAGACAAAAATTAGAAGTTAAAAGGGTTGGACTTTTGCAACTCTAATTAATGTAAGTTGAGAATTGAGAGTGCCATGTGACTGCATATGGGTTACGCATCATCGGTTGCTTAGGACATTATTGAAACATGAAAATTGTTAATGTTTTTAATGACATTGATTAAAGTAAATATTTAAATATTCATGAATTGCTATCCTTTTTTTAATTCTATAACCAAATATACTTTTAATATTAAATGCATATTTTTTATAATTTATTAATATATATATTAAAGATTAATTGAATACGAAACATGCATTGAAAATCTCATTATAATTACTTATTTTGATGCAGACACTTTTTCTTTTCAACTTTTTTGGTTGCATGTGCAAACTATAGAGCGCAAGCGTTGAGCTTTTTAAGTAATAATAGTAGTTAATTTTATTAGAGAAACATATAATTCAATATTGGTGAGGTTTGATTCGGCTTATGAATAGGTATAGTATTGATATATGTATTCTTCCAATGTTGGAAAATAAAAGAAATATATAATTTGATATAAATCTAATAAATTTTCCCAATCTATTTTATAAATTATTTTGTTCATCGTTATTTTCTGAATTTGATAACTTTTTTTAATAAAATACTATTTGAGTTTACAACATATGATATAATCTTAAACTATTATGTTATCAAATTAACCAAAGCTCTAAATTCAATAGCTCACAAAAGAAACAAAAAATAAATTTAAAAAATTTGGATATAAAATTTAGGGTGAAATATACAAATGGTCCCTCAAATATAGGATGTTACTTTATTATATCTTCCGACTATTAAAAATTATGAAATGGTCCCTTAATTATAAGCATTGCTTTGATTATAACCAGTATTTGCACGACATTGCTATTAAGTTAACAAAGATTAACCAAATCATAAAATTATTCATAATTTTGGACAAAAACCGACCATATGGATCGGATCTATAACACCCTTAGATTTTTATTAATCTAAGGTGATTACAAGTGATAATATACGTTATAAAGACAATCAATCATTTGACAATAAACGCTTAAATATCATGTGGTCGTTGATGTTTAAATTTAGGACCTTTAAAAATAACAATCACTCTTTTAACCATTAAGATCGCTTTGTTCGTGCAGTCAAATTAAATTGTAAATTGAATTTATTTCACCAAAGAAAATATTGTTATTATTGTTGTTCAGGGATTGCATGACTCCAAAAAATGAACTGCATCCGTGATTAGTTAAAATTTTCAAAAACAAGTATTGTACGTTTAAAATGTCTCTATATATACTTTTAATCTTAAAATTTTATCTTCACAACTTTAAAATATATTAAAAATGGTTATAATTATCATGATTAAATTCTATACATATTTTAGTTGCATCGCATCGGTTAGGGATTCTTTTTCCCTTTCAATATTTCAGGGTTGACATCTAATATAAAAAATAGAATTTATTACATATCATATCCTCAGACTATGATTATATTCTAGATTAATCTTTAAATTTTAAAATATTTTATATTGCTAAACTGTAATCACATTCTAAATAGATTCATAAATTTTGAAATATTATACATCAATCTTTAATTTATCAATATCATTTTATTTTGATTTTTTTAATGTAATATTAATTCCACTGATTAAAAAGTTAATATATTCTCTAAAATCATGAGAGTTGAACCCGTGAACTTTTAAAAAATTTAAATATTTTTTAAGATCTTGAAAATCTTTTAAAGGATTATGAGTTTAATAACTAGGACCTTAAAAATAAATTATTTTTTCAATGAGTTAAATTACCGAATCTATTGAGTAAAATTAACAACACGTTAGTATTGAAATAAAATGGCAATGATAATTTAAGGATTCATAAATAATGTTTTAAAGTTTAAGAAACAATTTAAAATGAATCATGATTTTCGGACCTCATATGCAATTAATTCAAAGAAAATATTAAAGTTTATAAAGTTTATAGACTAATTTAAAATGAATCATGATTTTCGGACCTCATATGCAATTAACTCAAAGAAAACATGAGAGAATAAAGCCAGAGGATAAGGGAGATGGACACCTCAACTCACCATTTCCTCTACTTTCCTTCTAAGCCCCCCTTCATCACTTTCTTTCCTTGTGATTCCTTTTTCTTTTCTCTGAAATTCCAAACTTGAAAGCTAAAAGCCAAACATTATTGAAACATGAGTTCTTCATCAAGTTCCCCAAATCCATGGACACCCTACGAAACTTTCAAAGATTGTTCACAAGGTATTTGTAGCATGTATTGCCCTCAATGGTGCTACTTCATTTTCCCACCACCCCCTCCTTTCCCCATCGACGACGACGACGACGATTCCTCCACCGATTTCTCGCCTCTAATTATAGCGCTGATCGGGATCTTGGCCAGCGCATTCATCTTGGTAAGTTACTACACGATCATCTCAAAGTATTGCAGGAGGCGTAGGCAGCAGAGTCAAAGTACGAGCTTAGATTTCAACGAAAACAGAGAGGAAACGAATCACGAAGGATGGCAAACTGGTTCACAAGGATTGGATGAGAGTCTTATTAAGGCTATTTCGGTTTGTAAGTTCAAGAGAAACGAGGGTTTGATCGAAGGGACTGATTGTTCTGTTTGCTTGAGTGAGTTCATGGAAGATGAGAGTTTGAGGTTGTTGCCTAAATGTAATCATGCTTTCCATGTTCCTTGTATTGACACCTGGTTAAAATCTCACTCTAGCTGCCCCCTTTGTCGTTCCAATATCGCATCCACCAACCAATCCGCCGCCGCCGCAGTGACGGTCCAGGAAGGTCCTCGCAATGCCGGTGTATCCGCGATTGTGTATCAGCAGAGGAATGAAGCTATTTCGGTGATCCAGGATCTGGAAAGTGGTGTTAGGGAAGAAGCTGTTGTTAGCCTTGTTGTTAACGAAGACGTTGGGAAAACGGCCGGTGAAGAAGATGGTAGAGACACGGCGGTGTTGGAAATCGGAGGAGATGGGGGTCAAATCCAGCCGCTGAGAAGGTCGGTTTCGATGAGTTATTCGCATGGACAAGTGATGTCTATTGCTGATATATTGCACATCAGTGAAGATGATGAAGATGAAGATGAATTGCAAGTGGAACATCATTTGCAATCATCATCAATGGGAATTGGATCCTCAAAACAATTCGATGTATCGGAATATTGGTGCAAGTCAAATCAGAGAAATGGAGTTCTCAATTTAGCAATGAAAAGATCCATTTCCACAGGAAGGTTTATGTTCCCCAGGCTTGAAAAATAGAAAAAAACACTTTGCAATTATTTTTTTCAAATTGCGATCTTACTTGTACGATAATCGAGAAAATTCAATGCACCGAATTCAGAAAAAGAATGAATTTTTCTGTGTATATAAACGTAATGAATTGAATCAAAATTATTTGTGCTTATGAATGTTCTGAACTTGTCATCATTATAGAGTTGGGAAATCCTAATCTACGCCAGCTATTTAAAAGGTAACACCTTTCACTTTAAGCACAGAGAACATAAGTAAAATTATTCACAATTCCGGCGTCTAACTTCACAGAGATTTTCTTTTCCAAACTACGTAATGTATAGAGTATGGTATAGAGTATGAAATGATTATTGTTGGTAATGCTAGGTTTGTAAACGAACCGAACGCACACGAACAGAGGTATGCTCATGTTCATTCATTTAATAAATAAATGAGCATAAACGAACACGAACATAAACGAACAAATTTTTTTTTGTTCATGTTCGTTTATTAAGGAATATAACTTGTTCATGTTCGTTCATTTAATAAACAAACGAATATAAACGCGCACGAACATAAACGAACACGAACATAAATGAACACGAACATAAACGTTGGAGACCCTACCTAGAGGTGTAAACGAGCCGAGTCGAGCTCGAGTATTGCTGAGCTCGACTCGAACTCGTAAACTTTCAAAGTCAGCTCGACTCGACTCGAAAACTCGCGAGCTTAAAATTATCAAGCTCGACTCGAACTCGAAATATAATATTGAAACTCGGCTCGAACTCGAAAAGGCTCAAACTCAAAAAAAATTAAGAGCTCGATTAAAACTCGAGACTCGAGCTCGATTGAAGATCGATTCTGAGCTCGATTCAAGCTCGACATTGCCCCAAGCGCAAAGATGCTTAAACCTATTCTCCCCCGTCTTCTTTTTTATAAGTTACCAACCCCGAGCTGCTTGTTTGCTACTGATGTGGGATTGCATAATGTTCCTCCACTTTCTTTCTTCCTATCTCCTTCAACAACATTCGAGATAAACACAAATTGTGTTTCATGTGATTGTCGACCTTAATCCTTGGGGATCAAACTAACATGTCCTTAGCTTCGTGCTATGTAGAAGTTGAAAATTGGGAGATGAGAGAAGTAGGTTGGCTAAACTTCCATATCCGGATGGCGCACAAAACTTGTTTGATGAAACGCGTTAAATAACTTCTCAACCTATGGAATAAGGCCTTACCATTAGTGGGTTCTTGATTTCAAAGTAAGCTGACTTGAGTTGCTGGTTGATCACTATTTACTTGTAAATTCGAATACTCCATTATATATGAAAGAAAAGAAGATTATTTGAGTAGAAAAAACGGTGTTTAATACTTAACATCCCTTCTGGAATCCATCACCTTTGGACATGGTTTCGAAAGCAATCGGTTTTTGGGACTCCTCTTTGCTCATCGGATAACCAGCTGGTGGTGCAGTCACATAGGGTTTCGACGCAGTGGGTGTTGACGGTACTGGGTATGCAGCTTATGGATCGTTAAAAAAGAACTAAACCATGTTAATATTGTTGGGTTTTCCAAATAAAATTGGGTTAATTATGGAGTTAGTCATCAAAATATCAGATTAATTAATATTTTTAAGATACTTACAAATTGGTCACCAAAATTGATTTAAGAAGATTGGGTTAAACATAAATAAACGAACATAACCGAACGTTCACGAACGTAAATAAACGAATGAGACCTATGTTCATGTTCGTTCATTTAATTAAACGAACACAAAATCTTGTTCATGTTCTTTCATCATGTTCGTTCATTTAATAAATAAACGCACATAAACGAACTTCCCGCCGCACGGTTCATGAACGGTTCGATGAACGTTCAGTTCATTTACAGGCCTAGGTAATGCTCAATCCCACATAGTGTAACACCCCCAACCCGTACCCGACTTGGATATGAGTCCGAGGTGTCACATTGACCAGTCAAAGTATATACTTTTATAAAAAAAAACCATAGAAAATTTAAAACTTTTATTCTATAAAGTAATTCTTTTACATAAACATATTTAAAACCTTAACAGACTCCGTCAGAGCGTACATATATATCATGACTTGGTTACATGCCAACATAATAAATTATATGACAATACTTACTTTACAAAATATTTCTGATATGAACTTTGTACGAAGATATGCTGCTCTACGGATCCGAAGCTTGATCTTCTGACTGTTCACACCTACGTGTAAAACACTTACACGCTAAGTCATAGACTTAGTGAGACATGTAAATACATAAAGTAAACTAACAAATGCATGATCATTCCATATAAAACATATTATACTTATATACCTATTAAACCCATCACTTGCAGGTTTATCCTTACTTATTTCCTTATCATTGATTCAATTCCATCATATGAGCATATATTGAACATAAACATATAACATCACTTCAACCACAACAATAATTACTTATGATCATACCATACATAATCATATCACATCTCATATCACTATTACCCATATACACTTGTTACCATTATTATCAGATAATCCTAACTTATCACTTATACATATCGCATATCACATGTACCATTTCACGAGAAACACACATATCATTATATCAAATTATGGTTTCTTTTCAAAGCCCATGCACACTATTGAGAACTTAAGGTACGTGAGTACATAGAGGTTGTGCACTATACTGTCACCACAGCTCGTATAAATCCCACTAGGGGCGCGTAGAATTTGTCCCGAAGGACCACATAGATGTCCCGAATGACCACATAGATCCTCGACTCTTGGCATGCCAACTATACTTATAGCTCTCATAACACATGACATGTGCATTATCTTTTACCTCATTACACATTCACATATTCATATCACATAGTTCTTTCACATAGCTCTTTATCACATTTCATATGATCACATAGTCACGTAGTTTACTTTCACGTAGCATTTTCCATGAAATTCACATTATCCATCCTTTTTACATATGATCACATCACATACCTTTTTCTCATATGCATATAACATATTATTTCTTATCTTTTAACATATATTACATATGTATATAATCTTATGTCTTATTATCCATATCTAATCTATTTTATTATACTAGCCTACCATATAGAATTCTAATAGAAGCATATACATGTCATATTATTTTCATATATATGTTTTATCATATATTTCATGATCACATGACTTATTATCATAATACAAGCATTTACATAGTTCACACATAAAAATGCATTCAACAATCAAACATATGCATTTACTCATATATCATACATCTAACACCATATCACTACATGTTTATGCTTTAATACTTATATCATATAATATCGGAATTGGACTCATCGTAAGTCTTAATTCCTTAACATAACGTACACTTACTATCATGTAGTCACCTGATCTCAATGAACCCTCTTAAACTCTTGTTTCCGTTGCGTATCTTACTCTGTCGACCTATCTGAACTTTGCTTTCGATCGATGTCTACATAATCATGCATTGATACTATCAGTATCTAATTAATATACTTTAATCTATCATTTCATAGACTGAATAACAATTTATTTGATTTCCCATTGAAGTACATCGGTGCATTCTTCAGTGCATCAATACATTCTTTAACATGTGCATCGATGCACTACCATGCATCGATACATAATTTACATTCGATGTTTCCATTTTAAGGGGATGCATCGATGCACTCCTCATGCATCGATGCACCAACTATACTCGATGTTTATTTATTTGAGAGTGCATCGATGCACATTGAAGATGCATCGATGCACACAACCCAGAAATTACATTTTTAGCCCAAAAATTCTTACTTTGACCTCAAATTCTACTTATTACCCCTCCTTATGCCTTAAAACTTATCTATACATGTATCAACCTTCTTATAACACTATAAAACTTTACCATCTCCCATAATCCACCATAATTCTTGAATCAAAGAATTTCATTAAATTTTCCATGTGTTCTAAATTCAATTCTATCACCTTTAACTTCTTAATTAACTCATTGACAAGTCAAATCCATCTTTAAAACTTCAAAAACATCTTTATATCAAGAATTCATTTCTCAACCCTTAATCAAATTTCCTTTCTAATTCTCTCATTTTGGTGTTTTAAACTTATATAAGCTTTCCTTAAGCTTATATAACACTCATGAAATAAAACCCAACTTAAACATTCAAGAATTAATCATAAAATTAAAACTCACCTTTGAGGTTTGAGCTTGAACCCACGAGAAGAAGAAATGAAGAAGGAAAAGAATAGTTCTAGATCACTCTTCATATCCCACGTGTTTCATTCTTAATAAGGGAAAGAAAATATCTTTTTAAACTAATTACCATAATGCCCTTTACTTATTCCATAATTATGATTTAATCCAATATTGAAATAGTCCTATTTAAATTCTTGAACTTATCAATTTCCTTAAATTGATCCTCAAATTCCAAAAATTCTCATTTTAGCCACTAACCCAAATTTTGGGATGTTACAAATCTCCTCTCCTTTAAGGAAAATTCGTCCTCGAATTTTCACTTTACCTCAAGATGAAGCAATCTGTTATAATACTCCACAACTCTTAACAATAATTACTTATTGATTCAAATCAAATCTTTTAATTATCTCTCTAATTACCACTTACTAAATACTATGATGATTCCCAAATCTATTAATCATCAAACTATTTTACCACGATATCGAAATTTACCTGCCAACATCTCTGGATCATTGAAATCTTCATCAGTCCTTAAATTATAAACTTGTGCAGTTGGTTGCATATCATGTTGAGTGAATGACTCCGATCGATTTCTTCTACGACCTCTACCTCTATTTCTTTGAGATACCGCTATAGATCTTTCTCTCTATACTATCTCTTCAGTCATAAGTGGACAATCTCGAATAAAATGTCCAACATCCCCACATCTAAAACAAGCTCCGGAGATTACTCTACATACCCTTGTATGATTCTTTCCACAATATGAACATTGCCTGACTTGACTGAGATTTGATCTTCTATCAATAAAAACATATGAT